TACACTAGCTACACCTCTTACATTCCATATGATGACACTTATAGGGATGGGGAATGTGAAGAGGTATCATGTGACTGACTCCTAGTGATCGTCCTGCTAGAGCGTGGAGTATCAGTAGCCCGTGAGTGTTTCTTCTGTATAACCCTGACGAAACCATCTTCCTTTGTCCGTCCAGTCAATCCAACCACATCCTCAGTAGATGACCTACAGAACACACCCTGTTGGTGTACCTCAATATGTGCTATGTTTTCTGTATCCGATTGTTCGGAATGCAAAGAATGAGTAGAAGTTTCTATGTTCTGTTGACAAATGGGAGGACAATGTGTATTAGTGCAGCCCGGTGTGGGACCTGGTAAATGTCTCACCATTGTAGCTGTAAGTTATAGATTTATCATTTAGATTATAAAGTAAAATTCGATAATTGAACAAAACGTAGAGATACACTTCTATTATTGTTATGATCATGAATTGAGTTATTAGGTAATTTAATGCGTTCATTCTAATTCATGTTGAGATATAGTCAGTTGATTTAACTAGATATGAATAATTTAAAATTAAGAGAGGTAAATTGATTAAAAATAATGAATTCGATTGATTACAACTTTAGGAATGACTTGAGAGGAGATTAGAGGAGATGAGTATGGTGAAATTGCCAATCCCCAATTGTTACTTGTGTGTACTTTTTAATTGTTTTTCTTAGACAAATAATATTTAGGATAATAACTAAAATCAACCTTAATTGTTTTTGTTCAAAAATAAGTTAGGAATGGCTTAAATAATATTTAAATAAATAATCCTCATGTAAATAATAATTCGGATTCTCAGGTCCATTTTTCTATTTATTAATCAATGTTGTACACTTACGATAGCAATCATATAATAAGTTTTTTACGTCATTGCTATGGATCGATCCCTAGTTTATAGTTAGTCCCTAGGTTCGTCCTGCCACTAAAAAACACTGCATATAAATATTTAACAGGTACAAAATCAATATCTTTCTCATTAGCTACGAACACCTGATCAGTCATCCAAAACATCCTTTCAAAGGGTTAAGGAATGTGGATGAAATTATGCATTCTTGCTTCCTTCTTTTTTTTTGTTACTTGTTTTAACTCCTTTTCGTCCCAATGCTCTCTTACCACTATAAAGACCTCGTCTAGGTCAAATTAAAAAAGGAGGAGAAGGGTTCAAAAACATAAAATTAGAGAGAAAAATGGGAAAATTCAGGAGCTCGGGTTTTGAAGATTTGATTGGGACGAAGAATTGTAACTTAGTTTTGAGCCTTAATTTTATATCTTCAGTTGATGTTATTTATTGTTTTACTTCTTTTCTTCTTGTATTGAATTACTTAATCATAAAATTCATTGATTTGTCAACGATAAAGAGACAAGAACTTGAGTTATTTGTTTAGACCATATAGTAAAAATTGAAATTTAATCAAAAGCCAGAGATGCACTTTTACTATTTTACGATTTCTAATTTTTTTTTTTTTGGGTAATTGAATGCTCTTGATTAAGGATTATCGTGATTCACGTAAAAATATAGTGAACTGACTTAATTGAGTATGATTGATTTGAACTTCAGAATGATAATTTAATTAATTTAGAAGAATTTGATTGTGTAAACAATAATTGACCATTGTCAAAAGTATAATGATTGAGTTATAGGATAGGTATGGTGAACTTGTGAATTCTAACACTTTCATATATCAAGTAAAACTGTAAATTGTCGATTTGCGCATATTTTAAAAGCTCTTAGACGAAGTTTGTCTAATGTAAATTTCTCTAAAAGCACTTTCAAAATAGGAAACTCTTTTAAAAATTAATTTTTGAACAAAAATTAAAGTCCATTGGCATGGGTTTTGCTTTTACTTTTACTTCCCGTAAGATAGCTTTAGGAAATAGTCACCTTAATTTTTGTTTGACAAGTAAATTTTAAATGCACTTCCTATTTCAGAAGTACTTTTAAAGAAAATCACATTGGAAAACTTTTTCTAAAAATTCTTTTAACTACCAAAAATACTTTCATAAAATTAGCCAAACGAGTCCAAAAGTAACTTTCGGGTCTCAAAAGCTCTTTTTAGTTTTTCAAAAATCATGTCAAATGGTTCCATAAGGTAACTTTTTTTAGAAGCTCTTTTATGACAAACGAGTCCTAAGTGAATTTCATGATTAAGTGGTCACTCAACTTAATCCCTGCCATTGTTTTCAATTGGGACTCAAATTCTCCCAGTTCAAAGCAGAAAAAAATTATGCAGCTCATAGCAGCGCCAACAGGATGTATACAATGAGGTTGGGCTTGCCAAATTCAAAGTCAATATCACTACATATTCTTGAGTTGAAAATGATAGTCAAAGTCCTTCCCTCGCTCTTGAATTTGATTCGCAGGTTTTTTTCCCAATAGTATCTCTGCAGAAGCAAATGATTATATGACATAATTTTTCCATCATCATAAAGGATTGTAGACACAATATGACATAATTTTTCCATCATCATAAAGGATTGTAGACACAATAAACATGTCATACTGTTCATACAAATAACAAATTCGATTCCGCTATGTGCACGTATTCTCCTTCACAGAAAATTTCCAGATGAGCTGGCAGCAATTAAAAAAAATTAAGAAAAGTCAGATAACCCAAGACCAATTACCCCACCTTTCACCAAACCATCCTCCCACTAAATGCTTCATGCAGAACGGAGAGAAAGAAACCCATCAAGATTTCGCTGCCAGCTGTGCTTTCTGTCTCCGACAATTTCATTTAATTGAACCACGATAAGCCCAAGCTTTTCAGCTCTATAACTATCACCCTTGCATAAACCCTTATCTCCTACCCATTATGTCGCTGCAATCGTGGCTATCTCTGGCTACAGTCATTCAACCGTTCTGGCAAAAGGCAAACGTCTTCAGACCTTATCTCCTACCCATTTTGTGAGTGAAGATTGTTTTTTGTTTCACATCCTTTGCACATTTGTTGTAAAGGTATGTTTTTTGGGTTTTTATACAAATTTAATGTTCTTCAGAGAAATTAGTAATTACATAGATATATAGTTACCAAATAAATTTCATCAATTTTATGGAATGGAAAGAACACCATCTTGGAGAAGTTGAGAGAAAAACACGTCAAAATTGGGTGTAGCCCTTTCCCAAATAAAAATGCTCATGTTCCCCAAATGAAACCACAGCGTGATTTGGTATGCATTGATGGCATTTTATTTATTTAGTGGAGGATAGGTAAAAAATTTGAAACCTGTTGATTTGCAGCCTGAAGTGGGCAAGCTATTAGCTATATATCTGCAATTCATTCTACTCACCAAATTCGACTATAAGATTTTATTTTGGACCATGGAAATTTTGTTTGACGTTTTTCAGTTGCTCTTCTGGCTCTAGATTTTGGAACAAGTGGAGGCTAGTAAGTCAAAATTTATTTCCATTGTGGAAGCATCTATATTTTTTGTACAATTACACAGTATGATACAGAATTATAGTAGAATTTATTTGTTGGATTTCTATACTGGTATAGAAAATTGCTTCAGTTTTTATGGAGCAATCTGTGTTCTCCCAGCATCAATAGCAATACGTGTTGGTAAGTTTAGTGATTTTGCGTTTGCCTATTCAAATAAGAAGAAATTACAATACATCATACAGTAAGGAAAACTCTAAATACGGGTTCAGTTGATTAGTCCTTTACTTCCTTGATAAGTCATGCAATAATAATTTTCAACTTCTCTAATTATTGTTTGCCATGTAGGAATGAGAGGGAGGAATTATGGTGTTCGTCACAGTTGTAGAAGCAGGATCACTACTTCGGAGATTGCAAGAGAAAAGTTCGCTGTCCACGGGATGTAGGTGAAATTCAGAAATGTTTTGAGGTTGAAAAAAAAAAGGCAATAACAAAGGCCGACTATTCAAAACTTGCAGCAACTCTTGCGAATTTTTTGACTAGGTAAGAACAGAAAAATCAAGCGAAGAGTCGATAGCATTAATGAAGTGATGAATCCTATTACCAATGAGGAAGTCGATAATTTTCCAAGAATGTTCGAACGTCTAGCCGAATTGTTAAGAAATGAAACGTCGAGATTTTGTTGAACATGACATTCTACAAAGGAAAAGAGCCCTCAAAGGATAATGGAAAAGGAAAGGGCCAAGAATAATTATTAGTTATATTCATTCTTGCACTCTAGTTTTGTTGTTGGGTTTGTAATGTCATGAGAGGGTGGAAAAAAATAGAAGAACCCTACAATTTTCATTTTCAATGATTGCCATGAGGGGCCTCTTTTTTATTTGTATCATATCATGTGGACCGCTTTTGATGTCAACTCGGCCACCTTGGTTCTCTTTATGTACAATTTTTCATAAATGAAGAACGCAAGCCTTGAACCAATGTCATTTCCATGCTCTAATTTATGGTTGGACATTTATTTATTTAAATTAGTGATCGACATTCTGTATATGTATGCTGTTGCATTTATTGGAGTCACAAGATTCACAACTTAAATGTTGGTTGATCCCATGACTGCAAATCGAAAACGAGTGAGCTAAGGGCATGCAAAAGGCTCAGAAAAATGAATATTATGCACTGAAAAACAAATCTTGTTTCTTGGGAAACTGAAAAACTAGTCATGAGAGAGTTGATGAATTATAGATGTTACATATAAAATCTGGTATTGGAATTTACTATACCCTTCCAGCATCTACAAAATAAGTTGTCCTGATTGAGCTTATTAAGAATTCAAATGAGACAAACATATACAGAATAACCTCTTCTTCACTGGTATGAAAAGAAGAACTTCATCCATGCATTCAAACAAAAAGCTAACTGTTACTGAACTAAGAAATATTGGTAACTAAAAGGTTGAATACATCTTTCATGTAAAACTTCACAGCAAAACCGCGAGGATCTCTAAGACTTTATGCTAATGATTAAGTTCTTTTCTAATTGGAATCACAAGATTCATAACTTTATGCTAATGGTTAAGACAGATGACCAGAAAGCATGATGAAATGAAGGTAGATTTGTAATAGCAGAAGCAACATTACCCAAAAGCAATGGCGTGTTGAAAAATCTTCAACAGCAATACCAAGGATGGTCTTTGAAATACTTAAAAATAGAACAGCTTAAATGAAGGCAGATTTGTTAAAATTCCAAAATTACATCACATGGAAGAACAAAACTTAAATGTCTTCAATCAGCTAGTTCCAACCAATCTCCCATAGCTTTTAGTCTCCTAGATATTCTTGTAGCTCCAAGAAATACCCTCACTGCTCTACAGTCTTCTTCCTCTTCCAGTTAGCATTTAGCCAGGGCCACCTTGTTGGGAAAAATGTGGATAGTAGTATGGAACCGAATCACATATTGTAGAATATGAACATATGCACACGCATACTACAAAATCTAATGAAAATGGAAAGATTTAAACATGTGTAAACCTTGAGAAGTAATTATGAGATTTGTTGACGTTGGATGGACCAAACTCGAGGCTGGCAAGTGTTGCGGGTAAGTATGACTTTCTGCATCGCCCTACATCGAACAAGAACTCAATTATTAGTATCAAACAAATAATGATAATAAACTAAATCACTAAATATACTAACCACCAATAGTTGTGAATACGAAAAAGGTGTCTGTATTAAATATGGTGAGATGCTTGAACGATGGATGCAACCAATGGCGTGTTACTATGACTCAACATTTGCCTCTTTCCTTTGGTAGTAGTCTACACGTAAATATGTAGTACATAAATGTTGTAGTGGAATATTGTTTACATTAACAAAAAGAATGACCAACATACCTTTGCTTTCTTTGAAGAGGACTCCAACGGACATTTTTTTCCGAAGCTTCTTTTGTGCGCCCTTTCTCTTAGTTGTTATAGGATCGCGTATGCACCCGCTTGCATCATCCTTGGATTCATTGCACTGAGAGGTGAACTGTCTACCAACATGTGAAATGATATTACTCCCACTATCTGACTTTATCGTGAGTGCTCTTGTTTTTTATTAATTATCCACTCCTTTATCACATGGGACCGCACTTCATCATCGGTAGCGAGGTTTGCAACCTCCACAAACACTAAACACATATCGTTGTATTTCAACTATTCAGGAGTACTAACAAAACCATCGTAGCTCATTGCGACCCTGGTATGTGCTCTAGATACATCTCTCCTCCACCACCATAGTATATACCTCTTAGGCAATGATGTGACATCATTACGAATCAACACCACGATAGCATGCTGAAACAGAATTCTCTGAAACTCAAACAAGTGGCAACTGCAAACAATTTTACAGATATTTATCTGAAATGGGGATGAAGAACTTTTTTTATTTTTATATCGTTCATCACACATGACAACCTCTCATATTTCGTAAGTCATCCCTGTAGTAACATCTGTAATAGATATGATGTCACAATAAACCTTCTCAATGAGTTCCACTTGAACTTCGAAATGGTATAACTCTTTTGATACTGCTTCTCCATTTCGAACTTTGTTATACACGGTACCATTTACAAGTATGATTTGAAGTCAGCTTGGAACTCCTTCTCAACCTTGCTCCTCAGTGCTTATTCATATTGCTCGACAAACTCTTAAACGAGGTCTTCGAATGAACATACCCATCGAAGAAGGCATTTACACTCTCACTACGCTGAGTTGTCGACATTCCCGCCCAAAATGTGGTCTTTAAATAGCAAGGAACCAGTGACCTCTATTATCGAACAGTCCCAATAACCAATCATTACTATGCAAGTCATACGCGTTGATCATCGCTCTCCAACCTTCTTCAAATTCTTAAACAAACTACGAATCATACACTAATCCATGTATGCTCAAAAAAATTGAAGCCTTATCAACGTGGTATCTACATTTTTCTAACAATTGCATTTTGCACGACCCTATCTTGATTGGTAATGATTCTATGGGGAGCTTTTCTATATATGTACTAAAGTCGTGTCCTAAATAGCTACACAAAAGTATCCGTGCCCTCATTAGACAACAACTAGAACGGAGCAGTGTTGATTGTCGTGATGATTAACACCAACAAAAAGGGTGAAAGGCATATCGTACTTTTTAGTTAAGTAAGTGGTGTCAAATGTGATATTGTCACCGAACTCCTTGTACGCTTATCGAGGTCTATTAACTGCCCAAAATACATCCCTCAGTCGAGACTCATTGTCCAAATCTATATTGAAGTAAAATACTGAGCATTGGGCTTGCATCTTGGAAAAGTAGGACTGCATTGTTGCGGCATCTCCTCCTCCAACTCTTAATTATCTCACTTGTTCAATATAATTTCAACAATCATTTTCCACGCAAGTAATATTTTCATATCTAGCTGCTTCAACAATTACGAAGTTGTAGCTTTTGTGCAACGGAATTTCTGCCATATCATTTACTTCCACGTCAATAAAGTTTCAATATTTTCTATGACAAATGAATTGGTGTATGATTCTCAGTCTGTTGAAGAGTTTGAATGAGGTTGGGAAATGATGATCGAAACGTTTAATTTGCATGATAATGATTAGTTGTTGGGACTATAAAAGAATAAAGGCCATTGGGTTTCTTGCTATTTATAAACCACTTTTTGGGCAAAGATATCAAGAACTCAACACAGTAAGAGTATAAATGCCTTCTTCGATGGCTATGTAAATTCAAAGTGTAACATCCCGAAAATTTTACAATAAAAATTTATTTATTCCGCATATTATATTTTCTTATTTTGAAAGTTGAGGGATTAAGATGAAATATATTTTTAAATTCTTATATTCTTTGGGTTTAATATTTGGATTTGGATAGAATGATGATAAGTATATTAATATTATACTCGTTGGATAGCTCATTTAATTATACATTTTAAACTAGAGAAAAAGTCGATTCGGATAAGCTAGCTTCAAGATATTACAGTTTGAATAAATTACAAAAAACTAGTTTTTTTTTTTTCAACTTAATTAATCTTGGATTGATAGTGAGCTGCAATGTGTAAGTAGATAAGGCAGTTTTCTTTTATTGTTTATTAGTTTTGATTTTTTTTTCGGAGATTGATAGATGGCTGCCACGTGTATTTGGATAGAGATAGTGGGGTTTTTTTTTTTTTTTTAATTGAATAAGATGATATTATAGTACAATTTGACTAGATTTTTTGTTGCATGGTATAAGATTTTGGCTTATCACATGTTCTAGATAAACCCAATCAACATGTACGTATTTTTTTTTTTTTTTTACAATTTCAGTTTATTGGGGAATCTGTCCTATTTATATACTGCAAAGTCAGGTGGTAAGCACACATTATTTCCAATAGAAAGCTATTCTTTATTCCTATTATATAACACAAATTTGCCAACAAGCCATTGTTTTATCAGAAACCAAAACAACCCATTTCATGTCAATTCATTTGGAAATATTTGTGAAATCAAAATAGTGTGCATCAATTGAATGTGGTAGCAGAGAGACGTAGAAAAATATTTTGAGTGTGCCTTCAGATTTTTGTCAAAACGAGGTAGGATATTATGTGCAAGTTGGTTGTCCTTGCAATATTTTAATTTTTTCTACGTGATTTATTTCATGAAATGCTGATTGACCTGCGGGTCCAAATGAAATGAAATGTGAGATCTCCTTCGGGTCTTCTTAAATGCGTTAAAAGTATTCGATTGATCATCAATTTCTCTTGATGAAATGATTGTATGAAATGTTATAAATTCATGTTTTAAAAGTTATTACAATTTTTGGACGCACATATCGTACTGAATATAAAATTACTCATTTCTTCAATTTTAACATTTCAGGTCAGATCGATCGACGTTGGTGGTGGCTTAGTGGTGCGTGGGCTACCAAGTAAAATTTTTTATAAAAATATTTAAACATAATTCAGTTAGGACATTTTGCATTTTTTATTTATTCCCATTTAATGTACTATATTACGTGACATTATGTTTTTATTCAGTATTTGAGTATTAAATAAATTAGGAGTTTTAAACTTTTAATTTTATTTTCCGCTTGATGTATGATTATGGAATGATATCGATAACACATCAAAATTTAAGTCTATAAAATTTCGGTGCGTTACAGTATAGTATCAGAGCCCAGAGTTATAAATCGATTCTGTAGACTTTGTAAAAAAAAAAAATATGATTTTACGAAAAAGGAATAGAGTACTGAGTTCTCGTTATAAGGATCTATTCTTAAATTACTCACCTCTCTTGCTTATATGTGCCAAAAACATAATGAACAATGACTGAATTTGGGAAATATTGAGTTGAAATAAGGTACGAGATTTTTAAAATTATTTTATTAAATTGAATTCAAATGCAATCATTATATTTCAATTGATTGACATTAAAATAATGATTTTATACTTCATACTATGCCAATGTCATCTTTCTTTCTTTCTTTCTTTCTTTTTTTTTTCTTTTTTTCTTTTCTTTTTTTTTTTTTTTTTTTTGCAAGTGCATATGCATATATATGTTGTATATATGAAGTTTGTATGTATGTATGTATGCATGCGTAGCGTGTGATGTGTACATATGAGGCATGTGTGTGTAAGTATACATACATGTGGTTGGGTGTAAATTTGTACAGCATAATTATACATGTTTTATAATTTTACTAAATTATGTAGTAGTAGGAAATTATTATTTTAATAACTATTAAATTGAATTATAACAACATTTTTCACCGTGAATAGTACCACTGTTCACGTGAAAGGTAAATAAAAGAAATTATGATTGTGATTATTTCAAATGAATGTTTATAGATATGATTATGCATGTTCACGTGAAAGGTAAATAAAATAAAATCAAAATTGATTGTTTATTTCAGATGATTATTTCAAATGAATGTTTATATATATATATGATAGTTTATATGAGAATTGGATTAATTTAAATTGTTATGTGCATTAAATGTGTATATAGCTAACTTTAACTTTACATGTTATTTATTAATTATTAATAATTTCCTTAAGATATAATTTTAAGGATGGGATGTAAAGTTTTTATTAAAATTCTTAAATATGTAAGACTTTGAAAGTTTCTTGGCACGTAGCATTCTCCAATCAACTACCATCTGACGGACCGAAGGTATTGCATAATATGTTTTATTTAAATTTTTAATTTTGAGCATGAGATATACATCCTTATATTTAATTTGAGAAATGGTGGGAATGAAATGAAATGTTGTATACTAGTATGAATTGTAGCATGACGTTAAATATATTTGCTTCCATTTATGAATTATTTTCTCACATACTTTTACCTTTTGATAGAAGTATAACATTTTATATTATCTTAGTAATGAATCATGCAGGCATTACGGGCAATGTATTATCACCACTAATAAAATATGAAGCATAATTGGACTTGGCTTGTATGTGACAGTCATGGCTAGAATTAGAGAGACCACTAGAAAGATAACGACTTGTAGAATTGTTCTAAACCATAGGACTGCAGTTATCCAAGCCTACGAGAATTATGAGGCAAACTCAACTCACATACTTATTGAGCATGTGGAGGAAGTCTTCGCTAGATGGGCTGCGGCAAGGGGCTTAGTACATGAGATTACATCCCTTCAAGTTGTTGACAATTTTATCCATACATTGTCCCCTCAATGGGGAGACATAGGCATTGCGGTTAGGGATAAAATGCGAGAGGGTAACCCTCCAGAGCACCAGAAAAGGATCGAGTTTGATTTGTAATGTGAAACTTTTCTAGATAGGTGAATTTCTACTCTCGAGTCCGAACCCGAGGAAGACCCTGATGAAGACCTAGAACAGGAGCCAAATTGTGAACCTAATTTAGAGCCAGAGGACGAGCCAGAGCATGTACCAAGACCAGAGCCAAAACTAGACTCTAAGATTGAGTCATGTATATATTTGGATGATGAAGCCCCTTCGTCTAAGCTTCGTAGGATTCGAAATGTTTGGACAACCGAAGATGAAAACTATCAACCTAGAGATAGTTTAGTTTAGATAAATAATTTCTCCTCCTCCAAAAAAAAAAAAAAAAAAAGTAATCAGTACTTGAACTACATTTTAGAAAATAAAAGATCCGATATTTAGTTACGTACCCGTACTCGAGTCCGAGGATCATAGAGCACAGCCTTCAAATTGAAGATGGATCATATACTTGAACACCAATACTCCACATCTATTTTAAGTCTTCTATGAGTGATTCTGGATGCACATCTATATCATTTCCATGTTGCTTTGGACCTAGAATTAATAAAGTTAATAATAAATTTTCCTCAAGACGTGCATATCCAAGGAGGGAGATTATATATAACTAATATCACTGGCCAACAATTATACCTAGAACTAGGTCACCAAAGGTCGAAAATCCATTGGGAGAAGGCGAATCCTAAGTTCTCATGAGTTTGATGCAAAACAAGGCCATTTTTTGATCAATTCTCTCCCAAGCTATTGAATAAACTAAATGACACATTTTTCCATCTTGACTTTTGTGATTTGAGTGCCATATTAGTTGTTCTGCCTTATCAAGTGACCTAATCATTCTTCTAAATCATGTCTCCAAATTCTCTAGATCCATTCTAAACAAACAATTAGTTACACATGCATGGATGTTCTCATACCCAAAATCAAAGGTGTTCAATAACCTTTTTGTTGAACTGCAAGAATCGAGAAGGGCATTCCCATGTGATAGCATATCTCGGATAATATCAAGAAGTTCACTGAAATCCTTGTCAAATATACCATATGTAACTTTATGCTTATATAAGACAACAATAGCAGATATCCTTTATATACTTCATGCAACCAAGATATAAAGGAATTTCAATGCCCTCATATAAATTTGAAAAAGTCTCTCTCTCTATCTTCATTCTTAGGTTCTAAAATATTGTCACCATAATAAAATGTATGTCTGTACATCATACATGTATCTAGATTTTCTACATCTTGAGAAAGCAATGATACTACATTCGATTTTTCCCCATGAAACAACCAGGTAGTAGACGTAGATCAAATGCCCATACATTATATCAAGATGTTGGTGGAATAGGTTTTTGCAACATTCCCTGCATTGGCTTGCACCATACTGATATGCCTCTGAAACTTTATAAAAAAAATGCTAAATATATCATTTAAAAAACATTTATGGACATATTTTAAGATAGTCTAAATTTAAAAGGACAAGATAACATTGATAAGTGTACCCAATCTTTATACATGATAATCTACCAACATTATTAAGATATAAACTATTATAACGCAGTAAAAATCAATTATATTAGGACATCATAGAAATCAGATTCCAATTAGGTAAGTCATTTTGACAATAAAAGTTTCACACAAACTATAATTACAAAAAATTAATACAAGCCTCGATTAAAAGAGACAAAATTGAAATAGTCACGAACCTCTTCGATACATTTCAACACTACTGCAATCTGCTGAGAAATTGAAAGAGAACTTGGTTAACAATTGCAGCAAATGAACAAGAAAAGGAAAATATTAAATTTATGAAGACATTAAATAATTCTACTTTTAAAGATTGCAACTCCAAAATTTTAAAATTGATGACATTTGAGGTTTGTGTACACATTCTTCTCTTCTCATTCAACAAGTCATAAAAAAAAAAAATAATAATAATAAAATAAAATTTCGAGAGTTTTTTAATGTGTTCAATGTGAATTGATTATGAAGATGTAGTCATAGCAAGAATATGACCATAAAGAGAAATAATTAAGGAAGGAGTGAGGGAAAGAATCAGTAATTTCCGTTGTGATGATGGTGTGAAGATCCATAATTACAAAGGAAAACAAGCAACAAATTCATTCGAACAACAGAAGCATGTGTTTACATAACTACTATTGATACCAGTCCAAGATATTGACTGCGTAGCCTTGCAAGCCAAGGCGAGCACATGGATGCAATATGGTATTTAAGTCTAACACAATTTCAAGATAGGAATTTGTTGTACAAAGATCCATTGTATGAAATAATTAAGGTTGAATCAATATCCTGTTATCTTGGATCTAACATATGGTTCAGATCCTAAAAGGTTGAGTGATCATATGACTTTTCGTAGAGCTATAAAACATATTGCTTTTGTCCACACTAAATAATAATGGCCCTGTGCACATTTCAAAAATGTTTAAAAACAGGATTTCTCATTACATATCAGATAATAAGTATAAAGGAGACCTGACATCTCCATACTTAAGTTGCATAACATTGACAGAAATGTAAACACAGAAAAGGCGAGATGCAAGAAAGAAAATAATATGTAGGCACACACACTAATTTCTGGGAAATTTTTACTCACATAGGCGGTATGGCTAATGTAAAACCTTCTTCCATAAATTATGAATTTTAAGCAGATGTGGCCAACACTCCATTAATGTTCATTTAACAGAGACAGATATTAAATTTCTCTTAGACAAGTAAAAAGCCTAGAATTATCACTCTATCCCATATCTCCATGCTTAAATTCAAAGAAATATCATTAAAAACCAATATGCAAAGTTCCAATGTCAAAAAGTTGCTCAAATTTTGAGATGTCAATCTATTTCAATGTTTAGTTCACTAAGTGGAAAAACATTATCCTATATAGTATTAGTAATACCCACGAGCTCTCATCCCAATGCCAACAGCCTAACTTCTTTTAGAAAGAATAATAGTAGCTTAAGGTTAACACTCCCTAATTGCATGTTTGGCAAGCAATACAAATTGAAAAAGACGGTAAGGGACGGGCAGGGCATGACAAGACATTATAATATACCACCATTTGCCTCCTGAAATTTGCCATGTACATCAGAAACTTCTTTACACAGTAAATCCTGAGAAATGATCGTGTCAGTTTCTTGCTTTGCAAAATTCACTTAAATTTATAAGGCTATTCCCATCATATGATGATATCATATAGAGTGCCTACTTTTCATCCTTCCAGGTGACTTTGAGGCATTAATATCATCAGAGCCACCAACAGAAAGCAATTTTTTTCTGCTCTCCGCCAAAAGTGCATACAATCCTGGTAACTTTCTCATATTTATACCAGTTGGGGTTTTCATCAAGAAGACTCATATCATTTGAATCACGACTTCCACTAACATTTGTGGCAGGAATGGAGGATATAGAAACCGGCTTCTTAACTAAAGTCAATTTCATGAAACTTCCTACATTCTCATTCTTAGAGTTTTCTCTTCAAATGAGAGATTAACACCTGTTAGGGTCTTGAAGTCTACCTCTGATCTAGTAAGACTACGAATATGCATGAAAATTGCAGTTGAATCCATTGTAACATCATGATTATCATCTAAGGCTGCAGAGTCAGACAACTGGCCTTGCCTTATAAAACTGGTATATCACTCACTCAACATACTTTCAAGTTTAATGTTACAAAAAATAATTTCTCTTACAAATCATAATGTTACAAAAAGGTCAAGTCTTGTCGGCATCAA